CTTTTCTGGAGGCTGTTTGACAGGTAGCTATCAAAGACCTTAAAAAAAGAAAGCCTCTGATCACTCGATCTTATTTCTACTAATTTATCCTAAGGAAATAATTGGTCACATTCACAAAGGATGCTCATGATAGCAGAGTTATTAGAGCATACAGTGGAGACCAACTATAAAAAAAAAAAACTGGCTAAATAAGATACAACAATATAACTGAATGTTTTTAATTTTAAAAGATTATATGCATTGATTATTATGAAAAAAAATACTTATATTTGTAGACAAAGTGCATAATCTGGTAAATGAGCACACAGAAAGTTTACAAAAATATGTACCAAACTACATTCTGCTAAAATTTCTAAAGTGTTTACTTTATGAGAAGAAGCGCTGGCAGTGTCCACTTGGGAAGCCTGAGGCTCACCTCCAGTGCCGCTTCAGGAAGCCCCTTGCACAGCCGCTGTTCTCACTGTGAGGTCAGCGGCTGGCCTAGTTGACCAGTGAGCTCCGTGAGAACACATTAACTAATGAAGCTCTGCTCCTCAGAGCCTGGTACATACTAGGGGCTCAACAAACGCTGTTACCGCGCGGCCAGATTCTCGGGTTTCCTTGAAGAACTGGTGAACTTAATGAACTCAGACCTAAAAGACCCCACCCCACCCCATGTTATGGCCGGAAATGAGGTGAGACAAGGAGCAAAGGCTGGTTGGACCTGCACTTCTTTCTTAGGGCTGAGCAACCTGGTGGCCCCAGGCGCCTCCCTGCTCTGAATTTCGAGGGCCACTCGGGGCTGAAGTGGACCACTGCACTTCCCACAAGCACTCTGTGCTAAGCAACACAGGCCACACCTTAGCTGAGCCTTGAGACCTTGGGCAGGGGCTTCTCCCTTGCAGGGCTTGCCCAAGGAGGCAGTGCGGGGCGGCGGCGACGGCTGGAGCTTGCTGTGGGCCCTCCCGCCACTCTGCACCATGCAGAGGTTCCTCCTTCGCTGCAGCTGGCCCGTCCACCTGCTCCTTGAGTAAGGCGCCCAGCGCCCTTTTGCTAAGGGCGAGCCTCAGGCAGAACCCAGAAATCTGCAGGCCACTGGCTAGGGGTGGGCCCTCCACGCTTGGAGTTTGCGCTCCTCTGCATCGCCTTCCAGCTAGGAATTGGTTTCTCACCTGAAAAGCGAGATAATAGGACCTAATAGAGGAAGATGGAACTCTGCAAATCACTGCAGAGAAAGTGCAAGGCGCTGGACCCCTCACAGGAAGAACACGCAAAAGCCCAGAGGCGCAGTGGGCGGCGTGGTTCCTTGTTTTGTTTCCAAACTCCGAAGTTGTGTGGTTTCCTTGGCCCTAGCCTAGGCCCGATCAAGGGCCATTTCAACGGAAACACAGCAAACGCGGCCGCCTTTCCCCCCGTTGGCGCTGGGCTCGCACGACGGAGAATCTTAATCAGCGAGACTGGAGGAAAATGTCTCGTCTCGTGTGCTGGCGTCCACGCCTGCGTCCACGCGGGCACAGGGGCCGCTCTGGTTCGACCAGCGCCTGTCAGGCAAGCCTGCCTTCCCAAGGCGCCTTCTCCTTCCTCCACCTTCCCAGGTGAAGAGTTTGAGCCAAACCAACGGAATCCAGAGAAGGGGTCTGTGCGGGAGGGGCAACTCCGTCCCGGAGCCACCGGTTTGGGGATAATTACTTTTAATGTCAGAAAGATTTAGTTTAATATCATCTCTATTAGGCTGCCGGGAGGGTAATTAAACGGGACGCGTCGCAGCCGGCAAACAGATGGCGTCTGCCTGCTCCGAGGCCGCAGGCAAACAGCGCAAAAGTCAACGCTTCCCAGGTCCCCCACCGGCACCCTCGGCCCTCTCCTCGTCAGCAGTCCAGAATCCCCACTCCGGGCCCCCGACCCAACAGCAGCCGGGTCCCCGCCCGGGCCCTCCCTCTGGGCCTGTGCTGTTGAGTGGCTGTGAGGGATGTGGGGGGGGGGGGGGGGGGGGGAGGTGACCGGAGAGGAAGGGCGTGGAGGAGTGCTCGGCTGGGCGCACGGCCCTCCCCACCCGCGAGCTCCAGAGCCGAGCCGGGACCTTCTGAAAGCGCGACTTGGGCCCTCGCTGCCAGCCACTTCACTGGGAGAGGAGGGCCTGGGCCTCCTCCGCCCGGGTGCCGGCAGGCGGGGAGCGGCTGGGGCTCCGTGCCCGAGGCCTGGCCCAACACCGCCCGGGGACGCGCTCCGTGCCTAGTGTGCAGACTCACGGCGTAGGACCCGGCGGGCGTCTGGGTGTGAGGTCACTCACCGAGCGCTAGTGCCCGCAGGCGAACAAGCTCACGAGAGCCTACTGCGAAGTCAAATTCTGAAAGGGCCCCTTGGGGGGTGGGGAGGTGGGGGGGAGGGCAGAGGTGAGCGCACCGCTTCATGTGTGAGCATCTACTTCACGAGTGCGTGAAGGTGTGTCCAGACCTGCAGCGAGGTCCTAGGGGGCAGTTGTGTTGGATGGGGGGTGAGGGCGTCGTCCTGTCGCCCCAACCTGGGCGCGCTCTCCCTAAAGCTCGCTCCCGGCCCCCTGCCTTCCGGGCAGCACACATCAACAGGAGCTGGCCGCCCGAGGAGACGATGTGGCTAGGGTTCTGTCGCCCGGAACGCTCTGTTTGAGCTTTCCCTGCTCCCCTCCCATGAGCACCCCCAACCTCAGCCTGTGAAGAGGGCTTAGAGTCTCGGAGCTGCGGAGATACGAACTTGAGGAGAGGGCACCGGAAGAGGGGAGACAGCAGGTGGTTTAGCCTGGGCCGCTTTCCAAGGTTCGAGCCAGGTCCAGGTCCACTCAAGAGCTGGGCTCCCCGAAGCCATTGGCTTTTGTGGCAGGTCTCACGGTGGTCTAGCCTCAGGCGCCAGAAAGGATATGTAGGCCACCGCTCCCCAGGAACTAAGCGGATCTGGGTAGGTTATTTCGTTTGGGAGGTTAAAAAACTTTTCTCAAGAACTGTCCAAAAAAAAAAAAAAGGCGCTAGAAGCAGGCGCACGGCAGCCTCGCCTGGAATTCGGCAGACACGGAGCCTCCTGGTCCTCAGGAGTAGCCAGTGATGCTACTGCCTGGACGCTGGGGAGGAGGGGTGCCCTGAGCTCCTGACCCGGGGACATGGCTGTACCCTCCCTCCTCGCGGGGCCCTGAACTTCCTAGCACATCCTCTCCGACTGCGGAGAGGGTCCTCCCCGGCCGGCCGCCGGGGCGCCGTCGTGCGCGGCTCAGGCCCGGGCTCCCGCCAGAGGCGCCCGGAGAACTTTCTGGAAGGTGTCTGCGGGCTCCGCGGCCCACCGCCCCTCCGCGCCCTCCCGGGGCTCCTCAGCTGGCTTCGTGGACCCTCGCGGGGTCCTCCTGGCGGGAGGGGCGGGCTCTGTGCGCCCGGCAGGCGTGCGGGTGCGGCGGCGTAGACGCGACCCCGCGCCCAGGGCGCTCTCGCAAGCCACGCGAAAGCGCACGGCAGGGAGCGGGGCCCAAAGAGGAGGTCGTTTCGCGTCTCGTCTAAACGCATTTTCTTCACCCTGAAGAAGAGGGGAAATAGGGGTCAAAAACCGAGAGTAGCAGAAGGTTAGCTCAGAGGCAGAGGGCGAGTCCGGGCCCGACGTCTGTTCCGCGTGGGAATCACTGCGGAGATAGGAAATTCGAACCTGTTACCTCCTCCGCAGACAGGACGGGGCCTGGCTCCGTGACGTCAGCACGGGTCGAGGGAGGCCGAGTTGGAGCTGCTCTCCGGCCCTCGGCCCCTGAGGAAGCTCTGCGACCCGACGGCCCCACCGACCGGCCCGCGCGTCCAGCCTCCGAGAGGCTCCGGGGGAGGCGCAGAAGCTGCTTTTTTTTAACTTTCGTTTAAAAAAAACAAAACAGAACAAAAAGTTACAAGTGAACTTCGTTAATTGCAAAAAAAAAAAAAAAAAAAAAAAAAAAATCCCACCACCAAGGAAGGGAGCGAGGTGCCAAGGAATGAGGGGAGGCGCAGGGCGCAGGGAGGAAAGGGAAAGGCCGCGTGCACGCGTGGCCCCGCGCGTCCAAACGCAGGTCCTTCCGGACCGCACTTACCCTCCGCGACGCCCGCGGGGTCGGGATGGTGCGGGCGGAGGCGCTGGGCGGCGGGGGTGGGGGGTGGGGGGTAGGGGGAGGACGGGGAGCCAGCCGGTCGCCGGGCCCCGGCGGACTCGGAAGCTCGCCGCCGCGGCGGGGACCAGGCCGGCCGAACCCTCCCCTCCCGGCGAGGTCTGCGGCGACCGCCCTCCCGCCCCGCCCCTCCCCCGGCTCCACTCCCACGTCGACTGCCGTAATTGAATTGTCACCTGCCCCCGTCCCGCCCCGGGCCTGCGGGGCCACTTGGGCAGCCCGGCCTCGCCAAGCGCCCCGGGGCCAAGGGAAAGGGGCACAGTGGAGCCGGGTGGGGGCGGGCGGGGGGCCCGGGAGTGGAAGGGCTCCACGCGTCTACGCGGAGAGGCGCGCCGGACGCGGTCATTGGGAGCAGTTCACACGCTCCCGGGCGCACGGAAACTTCTCGTCGCGACATTCGCGACGCTCCTCCTCGCGCGCGCCCTCGCCCCCTCCCACCCCGCGGGCGCTCGGCGCGGCGTTTCGGAGTTTCGAATCTTTCGGACACTGTAGACTGAGGGGCTCCCCGGGCGCGGGCCCGGCCAATCAGAACGCCGGCTGCGTCCCCTGGCCAATGGCAGGCGCCACATTGTTGTCCAATTCTGTCTAATGGAGCCGTGAGCAGCAACAATAGAGCGGGCGAGCGACGCAGTGCGAGCTGGCGGCGCGGGACCAGCCGGCCCGGGCGGAGCGCAGCGTCCGGAGCGCACCGAGCGGACGCCGGGCCCCGCCAGCCGGGCCCCGGCCCCGAGCGGCCCGCGGAGGGCGGCCTGCCGTGTTCCCAGGGGGGGTCCGGAAGTTCGGACATGGTGGCTGGAGGAGGGTGACGCGGTCAGACCTCGGGGGCGAAGCGAAGCGGCCGGGAGGAGCGCGAGCGGAGCTGGGCGACGCGCGCGGCGCCGGCGGAGAAGGGCGAGCCCGGAGCCCGAGGCAGGTAGAGGAGGCCGCGGCCCGGGCCCTGCGGGTCTGGGGGGCCCTCGGAGGCCCGGGGCCCTCGGGTGGAACCCCCGGGCGGGGGGGCGAAGGCCGCGGCGGGAGCCCGGGCTGGGCCTGCTGGGCCTTCCGCGGCCGCGGCGCAGGTGGCCCTCCCGAGCACCTTCGGGGTCAGCTTCCGAGGCGACTCCCCGGCCTCCCTGAGGCCTGCTGCGCAATGCAGCTCCCAGGACCTTGGCCTGGAGGCCGGAACTCTGGGAGTTGCGCGCCAGCGGGGTCCCCAGGGGTCCCCAGGTTGAGGAGGGCGTGTCTGGGGACTCGGGCCCGAAACTGGGAGGGGTGGGGGTTGGGTAGAAGGCGTTGAGAAAAAAAGAATACTGCCGCAGGGTCTAAGTTTTCGGAGATGTGCCTTTCCCCTCCACTGCTCCAGACTCAAAGTCTCAGCCCGGCGCCACAGGTTCCCCCTCTCCGCGCCCTACCTCGTGCCGGGGAGTTTTTCCTGTGTATCACTGTCGCCATCGGTGGACCTGGGTCCGGGTCACCATGCCAGCTGCTTCTGCATGTTTTCCTTGTTGTTCAAACTAGTCTTTGAGCTGGGGTGGCCTGCCCAGAGAAAGTTTCTTCTGATGGGTTCTCTGCGCTCTCCTAAGCTCGGTTCCGCGTCCGTTTCTTCTCCCAGTCCTTTAGAGGCTCAGGCCTCATTTTCCTACGGGTCCCAGGGCCCTAAGCCCCAACTTTGCCTCCAAGACTTCTGGTTCTCACTCTACTTTTAACGGGAAGAAATTCTTCAGCTTCTTCCTCGGTCGAACTCCCACATTCAAAGCAACAGGCAAGACCCCAGGCCGACCTCAGCTCCTCACCTCACCTCATTTCTCCTCCTTCGCCCGCCCGTCCATCAAACCAAACGCTCTCCCCTTCCTTTTTGCTTTGCCTTTAACACCAACTTGTTGGTCCCAAGTTTTCTCCTACTCTGAGTCCCTTCCAGGCGAGCATTTCTCCTCTCTCGCCTCACCCCGATTAACCTAAGCATTGGACATTAATGTTTTCCTTCCAAATCCTCTTCACATTCAACTGAACCAGTGACTTCCAAACGTTGTCCTTTTTTTGTCCCTTGGAAGAACTACTGATTCAAACGAAATCTTACCCCTGGCGTGTAAGTCGGACGTGAGAGCACCCGTGACGGGAGGGGAGGCACGTATTTACAGGATGGTTCCGACGCGCCCCCTCAGCAACTTGCCAACCACTAGCTAAACCTACCCGACCCAAGTTTTCCAAATTTTGGGTTTCTGCGGGCTGCGCTTGAGCCCAGCGCGCGGGGCCGCCCTCATCTCAGGTCTCTCCGCTTTCCCCACGCCAGGTCCGGCCATGGAGCTGCGCTCGGAGCTGCCCAGCGTGCCCGGCGCGGCGACGGCAGCGGCGACGGCGACGGGACCGCCCGTGGCGTCGGTGGCGTCGGTGGCCGCGGCCGCCGCCGCCGCCGCGTCCCTGCCGGTGAGCGTGGCCGGGGGCCTGCTGCGGGCGCCGCCGCTGCTGCTGCGGGCGGCCGAGAAGTACCCGCGGACCCCCAAGTGCGCCCGCTGCCGCAACCACGGCGTGGTGTCGGCGCTCAAGGGCCACAAGCGCTACTGCCGCTGGAAGGATTGCTTGTGCGCCAAGTGCACGCTCATCGCCGAGCGCCAGCGCGTCATGGCGGCGCAGGTGGCGCTACGCCGGCAGCAGGCGCAGGAGGAGAACGAGGCGCGCGAGCTGCAGCTGCTGTACGGCACGGCCGAGGGCCTGGCGCTGGCCGCCGCCAACGGCATCATCCCGCCGCGGCCGGCCTACGAGGTGTTCGGCTCGGTGTGCGCGGCGGACGGCGCGGGCCCGGGAGCTGGCGCGCCCGCGGGCGGCGCGGGGGGCGCGGGGGGCGCAGGTG